AATAAAAAAAATAATGTGTCCTTATCTATATCTGACTCCGCAAAAAATCAAAGATGCCGGCTTCTTTCATAGCATTGCCATCGACCGCTGTCGGGTTTCTCGGAAAGAAACCTACGTCGCCGGGCGACAACTAAAATTCAGTTAATATTTTATTATAATCGATCCTGACGAATGAATGAATTTCATAAATGAATGAATTTTATAAATGAATGGTTTTTGCTGCCGAATTACTAGAATACAATATTTCAAGGCAGATGACGGATAATTTTTATTCGAATAGTTTTCAACGAATGTTTTCTTACTAACTATCGAATTATTCGAATGAATTGCAACTATCGAATGTTTCGATAGTATTCATTCGATAGTTCCCACTACTAAGCCACACCCAGAATTCCAAACACACGTGCTTTGATTAAGGCTTGATTAAGGTTTGCAGAGCTTTAGCATTTGCCATAAAATAGCCAGCAATTTGTTTCAAAACCATATAAATTATGTATCACTGTAATCACAAAACTTCAATCTATTTCCGTATTCTAACGGAATTTTAAATTGTCTTTATTTTCGAGAAAATTTAGTCCAAACATAAGGAATATTTTGTTCATGTTTGACCATCAAAATCTTAAAAATAAAGAAGTTATCTAAAAATGTGCTACAATACGGATATCTACATATATAAAATGCTAATGTTTATCTGTGTCGTCTCTACTGAAGTAACGACTTGCTCTAGAAAGTAGCTTTTTTACTAAAAGTTAGCTAATTGGCTCTTCTAAAATCTGTCATTGCCGGATTTTTTGTTGTCTCTCTGCAAGTAGTTATCTGTCATTGCAAGTATTTTTTTTCTTGATGTGGCGGATGCGCCAGGCTTCAACTAGTAGTATAATACTTTATCTTTAATTTCCTTCTTCATTTTTGGTAAAAATACCTAGCCAGTTTTACATAAAACGTTAAATGCCGAACGCTTATTTTTCTACTTTTTTGGACTAGTAAAATTGACTCTTGATTAAACATAGTTGAGGCAAGTTTTTGATGGGCACTCTGTGAAAAGTGGATTCTCCTATTCATAATTATGCGTAAACATTAGATTTTGATTAAAAATACGATGAGCGTAACAATCCTGCAGCCGATCTTAGTGCGGCGTTACACGGTCCGTTTTTGCAGGTCCCGCACTGCGGGTCTTGTTTTGCGGTATGGCAATATCGCATGAGATGGTATGGCAGATGTAACACCATCCGTTTCTGCGGGATGTGCGGCGACATGCTGCCGCAATGCAGGATTGCGGGATGCGGGAACCTTGGTGACGACACAGTCAGTTGAATGTAAACTGTAGCACGGTACGTTTCTGCAGTATGCCGCTTTGATCGCGAAAAGCAAAATATGTTTGATACGGACCAATTTATCGAGCTAATTCGTGGGCTACCTGCCCCTTGGGACAAATCAAACCCTGAATATTCCAACAAAGATGCACGACAAAGGGCATGGGTGAATCATCACTGTCGTGTTTTGTTTCGTGATGCTGGGTCTCAATATTTCAAGCAATACATCAAAAGATTTTTGAGACATCCGATAGTAGCCAAAGAATTTATCATTGTACTTTCGAAATTTAGAATAAAATTTTCAAATCTTCGTCTTCTTTCGCGTTCGGAATTAAAAGGATGAACCCAGGTTTTACGGCATTTCGGCTCTCGTAATAAATTTTTAGCTTCAAGTAATAAAACAATGTTTAATTTTGAAAGGGACATAGTTCCTTCGCCTCTGCCACACAATATCAAAATGTGCGTAGTAGCTGCACGAAGGTCCCGCAATCCGTTTTTGCAGGATCGTATAATTGGAGGCCGCGATCCGTTTCTGCGGCATCCTGCAAAACGGGATGCCGCAAAAACGGACCGTATAACGCCGCACTTAGACTATTATTTCTTTTCTTTTATATGGGCGCGGGCGGTTGGCAGGGCACGTGCCTCTGTGGCTTATTTGTACGACGTTTCCATTCGTTGGTATAAGATATTTTTTCAACGGTCGGTTTATTTCGTAATATTCAGTATGTAACGAAACGACTCAATCTTAAAGCGGGATTGCGACATTATTATCCAGGAGAGTCAATTTTCCAGCCGATGTGTTTTATATAAAAAAAAAAACAATTTTCTATATAAACAACATATGCTTTTTTCAAATATGTAATGTAATTTCCTACGTTATTAAAGTATCGAATGAGAAAAAGCTCGACAAACAAGAATTTAGAAAGAAAGCTGGAGAGAAAATGAATCGAATGTAACATAATATTAGTACCTATTGATAATAATCATTTTTAAAATAAATAAAAGTAGGATTACTATTGACCAAAACTATGAAACTTTTTTCCTAAAATTTAGATTTTTTTTATTATAATATTTGTGTTTTTATTATAATTGTCAGATGACGTTATACCTTTCAAAATCACAGACCACGAAGTATGAATTAAACTATAATTAAAGGAACAATTTTTATTTAATTTCTTATTTCCTCTGTACTGTTTAGCATTAAGGGGAACCATGTTCGGAGTAGTAAGTGAAATAAGGATAAAAGTTACTTTAAGCATTTCATCGATGCGGATTTATTAATAGTTTGTTTATATCTATTAATACTCACAAATGTCTAATTACCTGCAATATGTTTGATTAATCTTGGCTAGCTTTTGAAATATAACGAGCAACATTGGACTTGTTAATCTTACTATATTTTAACTGAATCATATGTTTTTTAAATCCAGTAACAAATTAGTATCTAGCCTCAACATATTTTATGTTACAATATTTATGATATTTCATAAATAATCGTCGTTGAAAAGACGTAAAAGCATATCTCAACTTTTCTCAACATTTCAGTCTCGTACATGACATTAGTCTATGAGACAAAATATGTATAGTTTATGCATAGCTTTTGTATAAAATTACTAAAACAAAAAATTAAAAGCAACAAGAAAAATGGGTAAACAAATTTTAGTATTTTATATATAAAACACAATACAGAAGGTTTCGTATTAATACATTCAAAATACAGTTCATACCAAATCAACTTTTAGTCACGTGATTAAGCTTGACCGGCACAGCGTTGTCCACTTTTATATATTTTCTTTTAATCAAAATATTTTAGGAAACAAAAATAAATTAATTATGAATATATAAACAGTTATCATTTACATCAACAAAATTCACTTTCTTAACAGCACTTAAGGGACATAAAGAGCCATTACTACCGCTTTCCCGTTCAAAATATTCTAATGAAGTTGCGATGATTTTTTTACGGCTATTAAGCTATCTTGTACAGGGTGTCCCATTTTGTTTGAAATCATACGGTATCTCCGTTATTAGTGAAGATAGAAGTGTGCGGTTTGCACCAACCTGTCCCACTTTTTTGTCAAGAATCAAGTGATAATAACGATAATAATAATCATCTAGATAATAACGTATAGCAGTAGAGAAATGTCGAATAAAATAATATTAGGAACATCCTAAAAAGTAACAGCGGCCGACTAGATTTTTTCCTAAAAAAATTACAGCAGCCCACTAGATTCTTTATCAGAAAATGTTTTTTGTCCTGACATGTAATGCTTTACATTTTATTTTTTAATTTCAAATCGGTGAGTTTTATCAAAAAAATACAAGAGATAAAAAGTTTCTAAACAAACTAAACTATCCAAATTAAAGCATTTGCATGTGTTTGATAAGATTTTTCTTTAAATTTCGTTAACAAGAATTATAGGGGTAGTTTATTTCAACCCCTTCCACTCATTTTAAAAAAGTGAAAACATTTCCAGAAAGTGTGTTTTCATAACAGTTATGCTTCCATAAAATTTTATTAGTCTATCTCTTTTCGTTTTCACGATAAAAAATAAAAACATTATTTTTCCGCCATCTTTGTACCGCGATATCTCCCTAATGGTTGACTTTTGACCCAACGTTTATGAAGCAAACTACCCTTTATTTTGAACAAGGAATCACCCCCTGAAGTTTTTCGCATTTGTTTTGAAACACCCTGTATAATAAAAAAGGTACAATATTGAGATGCGCAAGTTCGCTATGTTAAAATATGACCCATTGGGCATGTCATGACGTTGATATCTCAAAATCGCCAAAAATCGAGATACGCCTTTTCGTCATAAAGCCGACGATATGTTTCTTTTGTTGAAATCTACCAGCTCTGAAAATATTTGCTCTTATTCAAGATTCACCCTGTAGAGTAATATCGCCCTTTTGATAACTGTCCACTGCTGATTGATCCACGATTTTTTTGTCTGCCCTTTTGCATACGGCTTTTTAAATAAATAAACAATAAACATGACATTCCACCAATTGACATGCATGTATGCGATGATTTTTTTGTCAAAATTCCATGCCACTTTCGCCTTGTCTGCCGGCATTTTAGCTACGAGAAAAATGTCTGTCAACAATTTTACACCGTTTTTTAATAATAAATAAAAGCTGTTTGGCAATTATAACTCGTGTACATTATAATATTTTAGTGTCAAAATTTCACCCTTTCGATTGGCCGCCCCCGCTTTAAGCCTCGGGATCGCGCTGGCAGACATGACTATTTCACAATGGCTACACAAAAGGATACATCACACAAAAAAAATAGCCATGTAACGATGATAAGGTTTTTTATGTAGCCAGCTCTCCGTCTATTAATCATCCGGCGCCGAATATGTCCATGGTTGCCAACAATAAATTTAAAAATTGCGCCCTCGATTACGTAACAAAAATTTTAATTGATATGAAATATATGTAATTGAATTTCGAGGTATAAATGTCCGATCACTACTATAATCCTCAGAATTCCATAAATTACGCCATCTTCCACATCTTACATCGTTATACATTTTTTCTACCGCCTAATGAAAGTGAAACCGGCGAAAAAATTACGGGAGATGACTGCAAAATGTATTAGTGCGCGCACCACATTAATTTTTTATATTTATTCATCATCGCAAGACGCGTTCCACCAGTTGATTTGCGACGGGCGTCGGATACAGACGCCGACGCGACGGACGCCTATCTAGAGATCGACGACGCGCGACGTCGCTATGAGCACGTTTTGGCGGGAAACTCTTTAAAGACTCTTGCTGCTAAAAAGGAATAAAAAATATTCCTGAACTATTTTGGGTGATTGTTTGGTTTGCTTTTACTGTATTATTGCTGGAGTTTGTATAGTTACTGACTACCATGAGCGAGCAAGGTAAACTCTATTTACATTTTTTTGTATGTACATATACCTATTAGTAATTAATATTTTTCAGTGGTATCTATATTTACATTGTTTCAATATAATACGTGAATTCACATTTGATGTGTAGAAAACATTTCTACATAAACTCAATGAAAGTTGAAGACTTATTTTTTTCGGAAAAAGTTTTAGCGCATGGATATTTATTTTAAAAATATTGCCTATACATACAGGGTATTTCAAAAAACATGTGCCATCTCTCGTGGGGAGATTTCTCAAGTAAAAATAAGATTTATTTTTCAGATCAATATAGGTCCGATTCTGCTTTCTTTCGTAGCTACAGGGTGTTAAGTCTTAATAATCTTTTGATTTATTATAATTTTCTTCTAAGTACTTTTAGTGATTCGAATTAAATATTGAGGGTAAAAGTTACTATAAGATAAAAAAGTGTCGATAAATTCATCAGGAACGTGCAACCCGTATGCATCACTGAAATATTAAAAAAAAACATGCGCGCCACTGACTTTTTTCTTTTAATATTAAAATTATGTAGGCCGTTTAATGCCAGTTAAAAGTTATCTCTTGTTATTTTGCCGAATTCGGCCTCCTTGATGAGATAAATACAATTTTATTAATCACAGTTAATAAAATTAAAAGAAAAATAAAATTAATAAATTATATATTTTATCTAATTTATTATTAAATATTATTACTATTAGTCCAACCTGCAACAATTTCAAATAAAAAATAATGGTATTTAAAATAATTACAAAAAACTTAATTTTAAAAAGTTTTAACAGCCTGTAACTCTAAAACTATGCATTTCCATACCCATGTTTATAGGAACTTTTTTTAATATTATTTGATGAGGAATTAATGAGTACTTATTTAAAATTTTCGGAAGTTAATGATATTAAATTTTTTGAAAGGTTGCTATTAGACTTGGATCAAGGCAAATTAATGAAAACTGCATCTCTTCCTTCAATGAGGCCGAAATGGACAAAATATCAAGAGACAACATTTAATCTGCATTAAACTGCTTACACTACTTCGCTAACACGAGAAAAAAGTCAGTGGCGTACATGTACATTTTAGGTGAATATGTCGACACTTTTTTAACTTTAAAATGTCACATTTAGAGTAATTTTTACCCTCAAAAATTCATTCCAAACGCTAAAAGTACTTGGAAGAAAATTATAATAAATCGAAAAATATTAAGACTTTAACATCCTGTAGCTACGAAATCGGACCTATGTTGATATGAAAAATAAATCTTATTTTTTACGCGAAGAATCTCCCCACGAGAGATGGCACATGGTTTTTGGAACACACTGTATACAGTATGTCCGGATTTTCTTTACAAGAGGAAAAACTTCTTTATTAGTGACATTTTGAGAAAAATATATTCTTCATAAAAATTTTTGCTTGTTCTGAAATTCTTAATCCCGTTTATATAATTTTTCAAATTTCCATACCGTTTTGGAGGAAATTAACAAAACCATGAAAATATGGTTGAATTTTTCCTAAAGTCCTAAAAAACCGTTTCTATGGTAATATATTTTCGATTTCATTCTTTGATAATGGTTATTATTTTGATTAACATAATTTTTTTACTGTTATTAAAGTGTCATATTTTCCGATAACTATTATCACCCTTTCCGTAGCATTCAACTAAATAGATATTGTGCTTCTTTAACATCTTAAAACAGCAAATAATATGACGTTAATTAAAATTCTATCAATAAAAATTTATCAAAGAATGAAAGGGAAGTTATATTATCATAGAAACGCGTTTTGATTTTTAGAACTTTTAGGAATTCAGTTATATTTTCATGTTTTTAGGGTTCCGTACCCAAAGGGTAAAAACGGGAACCCTATTAGGTACTAAGACTTCGTTGTCCGTCCGTCCGTCTGTCACAAAGGTCTATCTTATGAACCGTTATAGCTAGACAGTTGAAATTTTTACAGATAATGTATCTATGTTGCCGCTATAAGAACAAATACTAAAAACAGAATTAAATAAATGTTTGTAAATAAAAAAGTACTTTCACTAAACATTTTCTTTTAAGTAAGAATTTTACATAGAATCTTTCAAGTCCTCGGTGGCCGCGTAGTTAAAGCGTTAGGACTTTACGCTGCTATGACGTTAGGCCGTAGTAAGGCAGGTTCGAATCCTAGTGAAGGTGATTTTTTTTAATCGTTTTTTTTTAATTTTTACATATTTTTACATATTGATTATTGATTAATACAATTTTTAGTAACGTGTTTCTTCATTTTTTTTAAATTACTTATACACAGGTGGCGTCTGTTTCCGTTTTTTAACATGAAGTTAGCATTTCTTTAATGTACCTATTCTCTGGAGTGTCTAATGTTGTATAGATAATGAATGTTACGGAACCCTTCGTGCGCGAGTCCGACTCGCACTTGACCAATTTTTTTTTAATTTTCTCCAAAACGGTATAGAAATTTGGAAAAGGATAATCGGGATTAACCCTTTTAGAACAAGCAAAATTTTTTTATGAAGAATGCATTTTTCTCAAAATGTCAATAATAAAAGAGTTTTTATATACATACTGAATATATAACCCTGGTATTAAACAAGACTATAAATTTATTATTATTTAAATTTATTATCTTTGATAATACAACTAACACTCTTTTTTAATTGGTCTTTATTGCTAATAACAGTTTATTGTTCTTTAATTGATTACATTGATGTCAGGATAAAGTGAACGTTATTTGTTGTATAGTTTATTTATCTCGTAGTTTATGAATATCGTGAAAATATCATTTAATAATTATATGTTAGAATATTTAGATTTTATAATTACTATGTCATTTCTTCTAAGATTTTTATATTTCGATAAAGTTTTAAAATATTCTATTTATTCGTATGTGGGTTAAAATTTATATTTTATTTTTATTTCTTGGTATATTAAAATAATGCTTATTTTTATTTACTAGTACATTTTTAGATATGTGGATATAATCGGTTTGGCACTTCTGTATACAGTGTCTGTCATAGAGTGAATCGCAATAGCGATCTTGTAAGTCGGAGAGAAAAGATGCGAAGTGATTAGTACTGTAGATTACACAACCACTTAATCTGACGCTATATTTGGTCCGCCTTGGAAAATACTTGCTCTTCTTTCTTTATTCACTATATCTTTTTGTACTGAGCGTATTGACTGTATCTATATCCTTCTTACAGACGAAAATCTGCACCCAAAGCCAGAATTGCCAACCAGGTATATAAGGTTTGGCAATAGTGCGTCGGGCATCTGTAGCTCCTAGAATAAAGAACTTGAGAATTCTGTCTAAGTGCAAACCTAAAATATGTACGAGGAAAATATTTTAACTCCTATAGGGTGGCTCAAAAAAGTGTGAGTGTATCGGGATGATTTTCTTTAAAAGGAACATCCTGTATATTATTGAATATAAAGATAAAGATAAGATATGAGTAAATATATTTCGATAGTTTCAGAGATATCAATAAATATATAAAAAATGTATATTTTTTATATACGCCAAACTTTCTAAAATATAAAACAATTTTTCCAATGGAACACCCTGTAGGTACCTATATTATTTTTTTCTTTTTTTTTTCTTTTAAAAATTGAACATATTTTTTATTTAGAGAATTTCAAAATTTTGTTTCGCAGGCGGTTTCGCAAATATTTTCTTTTACGCTAAAATAAATTCTCTTGCCACTAATTTTTTTTTCAAGAACGATGACGACTTTAGTTCAAGTCTATCTTTTTTATCAGTGCTGTTTTATATTTCATATATATGGAATTTTAAACAGTAAATTTTTATCAAAGCCACCCAATGTTTTTTCTCTCGTATTTTAACGTTGAAAGAGCCATATGAAATAATACTGCGTGTATCTGCAAAACCATTAAAAATTTTGAAATACTTTAAATACAAAAAATGGAAATTTTTTAATGCACCATCTAATAAAAAAATAATATACAGGGTGTTCCTTAAAAAAACGAAGAAAAATTATTTTATATTTTAGAAAGTTTGGCGTAGAATTTTGAACACCCTGTATGATTTACGGTTACCCTATTTATAGCAAAGTAAGTACAGACCATATAAAGTAAATACCTAATATACTTTTGATTTCAGGAGAGTTCTTGTATTTTCAATAATTTTTTAAAGAAAAGCTGGAAAATATATATATTTATTATTTATTTATTAATATCTCTGAAACTATCGAAATATATTTACTCATATCTTAGGATTATGTAAAGTGATCATAAAGGAAGCCAAAAATGCAATAATATGCAGGTAAAATGCAGATAAAATCATCCCGATAAACACTCATTTTTTGAGCCATCCTATATAAGTTAAACTATTTTCCTGAAATACATCCTCATACATACTTTAGGTTTACACATAAATAAAATTCCCAAGGTTTTTATTCTAGGAGTCTGTCCAAAAAATCAGTGAAGATTTCGACAGACGATATCTCAAAATTACTAAACACTACGATGTCAGGGATTCTCCCGTTTGACAGACTATATTATATTTTGTGCATTTTTGCAAAAAAAAATTCTGTATTTTTTCTAATTATCCATTAGTCATACTTTGCAATTTATCGAGAACTAGAATTCCAGCATTCAATTTCGAATATACGTACTGTTCGCCATATGTAGGTAACAAAAATTAACGATACATTTTGAGTAACATTTGTTGATAATGTACGGCAATAATTGAACTCATATTTTCACATAGCTCCAAGCAATGTAAGCGTGGTGTGCAGAACCTAATTGAATGTTTGAGAATAGAGATTTTGTTATGATTGGGTTTTGAGTAATTTCAGTTAATATTTGACTTCTGAATGTAGAAATTGAATTCCTTTTTTTAAACCTCAAAGAGGATGTATATTTTTTACAGTGTATTTGCAGTTCATATTGGACTTTTTTATTGGAAAAATCGGAGTCTAACATTTATTTTTCACAAAAATTAATTACATTTTAATGAAATTTCTTACACTCCTCATATTTCGT